GCCATTCACTTCAGGCATTTTTAAGGAGTTTTTTTCCCCGATGTGTTTGTTGTTTTCCCGCTTTTCCAGGTTGCAAAACTCCAAAGCTGGAGGCACAGGGAGACCAGCTCCTGCCCAGGTAAAGCTACAAACAGCAGAGTCGAGCACCAAGACAGGAGCAGCCTGGAAGGGGAAAAAGAGGTGACAGCGAAGGACAAACTTCTAAGGAGCAGTATAAAGGCAAAAAAAAACCCTTACAAAATCCTCCTGAAAAGGAATTTTAAAAAGACTTTATCAGAGACTCACTAGCTGGAGGGTAAAACTCAGGAGAGCCCGAGACAGGGCTGGATATCCAAGAAGGAATCGCGTTCCCTGCGGCGGGAGACTGGAAAGAGCAAGAAGAGAGGTCAACTTTTCCCTGCTATTTTGCCCCAGGTCGGGAAAAGTAACAGGTTCTCAGAACTTCTTGTGGGTTTTTTAGTTTATATATATAAAATATATGGATGGATGCATTAAATACATTTCTTTGGAGCTCTTCTCCCCCATGCTCACCCTTTTGCAGCACTACCCATGCTACAACAAGGCTTTCTGCCCCCTCTGCACCGCAGCTGCTGTATGAAATTTGCTGTATTTAAAACCAGAGCTGCAGTTAGTTGCTCCTTCAGCAACTTGACTCCCGGCCAATGTTGCTATAAACCTTATCTCCAACCTACCACCATAACTGGGGAGATTAGAGCAGCGCAGGCAAATTCCAGAGTACAAAGTATCCTCGCAGCAAAAGGTGACACGTAACCTTATTACCCAGAGCATAATTCAAAACGTAAAATGACATGTTGAAACTGGCAGCAACCAGATATTCACAGATACATATTCATTCATGCTTCCTTTTTTTGTTTCCTTAACATCTGCACACTCAGGCTTGTTGCTACAGGAATGAGACTCCAAATTAGAGGCTGCCAACAAGTATCCCGGCCCGGCAGCGGATGCGGAACTGAAAAGCCCCAGTAAGTTGCCTCATTTCTTCACTCATGTTCTCCCATCAAGGCTGAATGATGGGGAAAATCCAGGAGAAAGGGGATTTAGGAGAAAGATGTGAACGAATTTAAAGGATTCGGGACAGGATATGTCCTGTCCCAAAGGATATATCTTTAAAGGGAGCAGTAGAATTGGGGCTGGGGTTGCACAGTCGGGTTCCCCATCCTGCCCAGTCACCGCTCGTGCTAGCGGATGCTGCGAGGTTGCAAAAATGCAAGCAGGATCAGGGAATGCAATCTAAAAAATACCCTTTTGGGGGGTGTTTTAGGGCTTGTTTTCAGGTGGGCGAGTTGCCCAAAAGCCCCATGTCTCACCCAGCCCCACGGCTCCTCAGGCTCTTACAGCAGAAACAGTTGGCAAAGGGGAGCAGTCCTTTGGTGCAGGCTTTTAGGGCCGATTCAAACAGCCAAGTAACGATAACCTCATTCTCGCTGGCAAAACATAAAAGCAAAAGAAGTAACAAGAGGCATTTTAGAAAACACGAGGGGGGAAAAAAAGACCTTGTAAGGGCAGGGGGATATGAAATTCCTTTGCGAGCTAGGCTTGGAGATAACATCCAAGGTGGAGGAGCTGTCGTGGAGCAGGTTTCTAAAGTTTACAGCACATAAATCCATTAGGGAAATCTTAAATCAAACTCACATGTGGATCACACGAAGTTCCTTGCAGCCTTGCGGCCGCCCAGAAAGGAAATCGCGCCGATATCCTGGCAAACTAAGGGCAGGTTCAGACTACAATGAGGCACTTCTTTACGGCCACCGATTGAAGGAGGCAATGTTTGAAAGCAAAATAAAACACATGAAGGGTTGCCAGCACCTCTGATAAATTCATCCATTCATAACGCTAGGAAAAGAAAAACTAAAGGGAATTTGCTGCCTGCAAGAAGCCAGGTCTGGCCGGAGCGAAGCAGCATCCCAAAATTGGATGTAGGGAATTTTTTAAGGATTTCTGGCTTGCACCAAAGTCTAAGCTGACCTTTTGGGGGGAAAATCCAGCTCTTTCTCCAGCAGAGAGACCATCTTTTCTAGCAATCCCAGTGCGAAAGGACGCAGTAGTTTTAGCAAAGGACAAAAGCTCAACATATGGCCGTGCCAAAAATATGGCCAGCGACCCTGGGAGCATCACGAATTCCACAAACTCCTCGCTCACCAAGAACGTGATAGAAAGCCCCAAACAGAGATTCAGAAGAAAAAAAGGTGTCTTTAAACCTACTTGCTTTAAATCTAGCTCAAAAACATGTTTTTTTCTTATAGTCAAGTCATAAAGATCCTTCACTTCCACCCATCGTTCACAGGGAAGGGGAAAGGCACCACAGTTCAGAGTGCAGCTGATATTGGATTGCACATTATAATTTTATGCTGTGTCAAAAGCTGTTTCACATCCAGGAAAGTTTTCCAGGCACCTGCTGGAATGCAGTTTTGCCCAGCCCTAGGTGAGCTTTAAGATCCTTCCATATTCAAAACGTGTTGCCTTTTCTTCCCTGCCTCCATGATCTGCTACACCCTAAACACGCAAAATCCGGTGTTATCACTCCAAAATACAGCACATTTTAGCTTGAAGTCAACCTCGTGGGTCTGTGAGCAGCTCTCAAGGAGATTAAATCACTACAGAATGGGTGGGAAATTGGGAGTTACACCTGTATTCCTCAACCTGGAGCAGAAAGTCCCATTTGGGATGAGCAGCAGTTCAGCCTTCATGGCCTGCAAAGGCTAGTGTGAAGTTTTTGGCTTTAAACACTTAAAAGTGCTCAGTTTTGCATAAAAATATCAAAGCTGTTGAAATGGAGAGTCTGTTTATGATCTGGGACGTCGCCAGAATCATCTGCTAACGCACTATGCAAAGAATGTATTTTCATGGAATTTGTATGAGGACTTTCTGATCTTTTCCTTCAATCACTTCCTCGCTCCAGATATTTAAAGTTTTATTCAAAACTGGCCCAAAAGGATGTAAAGAATGTAATTAAGGATATTAAAACCCAAACTAGTTTGTTTCTTTTTTAACACTGCATACACAGCTTAAATGTTAGCATTTATATGCTAATACACACAATAGCTATTTGTAGCAATTTAACCTTTTAAAATAGGAATTCTTAACCACTAACTCGTAAGCCACGTGTTCAGAGTTTCTTAATGCTGCAGAAGTTAAAACCTGCAGAATTTGGGCAGTTTAACTGTGTGAAGTCGCAGGCTTGTCCTGCTGGAAAGTTCAAACAGGGCTACGAGACCCTCAAGCCTTGGTAAAAACAAAGACTGTTTGGTTAAAATGTAGTATTTGGGGGGAGAGTGTTTTCTCCTGAATAATTCCCGGGACAAAAGATGCTGCTTTCTGGAGCGCTCGGGATCGCGGGGCGCTGCAGAGCATCAACAAACACGCGGGTCACGGGACGGGGTGACACCAAACCTTTCACATGAGCGTCCCTGATGCAGCACCAGCACCACGAGTTTCTCCTCCACAGCTAAATGCAAATCAAAACACCTCTGCTTCGCAAGCCGAGGTCATGTTTTCCTCTCCAGACAATATTTTGAGGCCAAAATTCTCTTGCTGCCTCCTCTTCTGTACCCTGGTAGTGCAACAAAGCACTGACATGATGGAGCTGTCGGATTCTATCGCATCATTCCCTGTTTGAGGGATGTTTAAGCTGTGAAGCCACACAGTGAGTCTGCAAACGCAGAGCTCCAGGAAGGCCGAGCGGCGACGACGCGGATTTAGTGAATTAAGTGCATTACCCAGCGTCTTCATCCATAGCATTAACATTCAGGAATTAAGTGAACTTCAGAAAATAAATTACGCTGAGGAAAAGCTTTCTAAGCCAGCCTTTTCACATGTTTTCCTGTTTTGTACCAAAAGCTGTTATAAAATATGACATATTTCGGGAGAAATCCAGGCTTGAGTCATTATGAGGCCCTGGAAAATGGGAAGCGCTAATAAAGCCTGGACCAGAGCAGCAGGACCTGGTCTAGATGTCCCAAGAATAAGTTTTTATCCAGGGAGAAGATTCCTCAGACCAATCTATGGCTCAACACTCAGCATTTGCTAGCTGAACTCTAAACAGTCACTAATTTTAATCCAAGGAAATATATGTTGTGGTGTTTCCCATCTAGAAAAGCATTCCAATATCCACAAAAAAGGTGGGAGACTGAGGTTATGACCCTCTGGTTGACTGGAGGGGACTGGAGCAGCATGTCACCCGTCAAAGCTGCCACTTTTGCATTTTAAACACCAATACAAAGCAAGAAATCTCATTTAACTAGCTGGAAGGTGGACTACACGGTGCCAAAACAGAAGAAAAAGCAATTAATTGATAAACATTTTGCAGAAGAACCATTCTAGAAAGTGAGCCCCTCCAAAGGGAACGAGTAATTCCAAGCAATTCCTCCAAGTAATTCCAAGGACCCCATCTCCATGAATATCTTGTTAAAAGCAAACTTTCATGATAAAGAGAAGCAATGGCATTAGTTAAAATGAATAATAAGAAAAATGCAATTTATGTCCTCGAGATTCTCCCTGCTGATTTTAGCCTGTAAAGAGTTTGGGAATTAAAAAAATGCAAGTATCTTTTTATAAGTTTCTGGTAAAAAAAATGAAATCCATTTAAAAGTGTTATTCAAAGCCATTTGTAACAGGACGTAAATCACCAGGGGTTTTAAAATATTGTCAATAATTTTAGCAAGCTCTTATAACTGGCAAATCAAATAAACCATTATAGAGAGAAATGCTGCTGAAAAACCAATGCTTTTTGTATGCTTTTTGTGACTTTTTTTTTTCAAACATTTCCCCCATTGAAGAGAAGAAAAACTGGTGTGCATTGTGTTAGCTCCAGTTATAATTTCCAGCTGTGTCAAAACTTTAACAGCCTAAAAGCAGGAAATCCAAAGAGGAAATTCCATCGTCAGTTCCTGAAGTTTTGTAACTCAAATGTTCTTCCAAAGCTAGATCCGAAAGGAATCTGTGATTCTGTGAATTCCTGGTAGCATTTGCTGTGGCCTTACCTGATATCCTCGAGCAGCTCGCATTCTGCCTGATGCTTGGCCTGGAGTTTTGTCATCTGCTCAACCTGGCTGTTTTTTAGCTCCTGTGTAACTTTCACCTATAAAGAAAAGCACAGACCGTCTATATTTTCTGCAGGGGTCACATTTCAGCACGAAAAACTAAAGTTTCCTAATTTTGAATGTATTCGTTTCGGTGGAAAATTAGGAGGCAGAATTTAGCGGCGCGATTTAACCCTGTTATTTCAGCAAATAATTCTAACCCCAGCAGCCCTTCATTTTGCATGTCAAAAACCTCATGCATGCTCCAACACTAGCAAAAATGTATATTTTTCCCCCCAAAAAGGAGAGAAGGGTGACAAGGGGGAGGGAGGCAAGCTTGGAAAAGGAAAGCAGGTAAAAAGCGCATTGATGGTGAGTACACCCGGCACAAGTTGAAGGATTCTGAAGAGTCTCAATTAAACTGTGCTCCAATTATGATAATTAAGGAGAGCGCCCACATAAGGTTATTTCTTAATTGCACATGGGGGCAGAAGCCCTTCTGCATAAGTCACTCCATAAGGTTGGCCTCAGGTTTTCAGTATTATGCAATTTCCCTCTGAATTTCACAACCCTGAGGATTTCGATAATTTGGGAAGCCACTTGCTAACGCGCAAGAGGGCACAGGACCACGATTTGAGGCAATGGGAAGCGGGATTTTTTTTTGAAAAAAATGTTATTATTGGTAAAAAACAAGCGGTCTTGGCATTTAAGCCCTCTAGTGATCACAAAGAGTCCAGGAATCGGCCTAAAATAAAACCCGTCACTGGTAGCGCATCAAAAGGCCTTTGGATTCGGGGGGACCAAAACGCAGAATGGGGGAAATGAAAAACGAAGAGGGGGGAGACCCAAATCTCCCTCTTTTTATTAGCCCGGCAAAAAAAGACCTTCCAGACCACGCCGGCTAGGAAAAACCTCAATTTTAAGGCTGAAGGGAGGGAAATAAATAAATATATGAATATGGCAACCTCCAAAAGGGTCCTTTAACTGCGGCCTTAAAGTCACGTTTTCCCCATTAGCGCCGGCGCGATCCCGCAAGTCGCCCGCGCGTCCCCGGCTTCGGCGAAGCCAAAAAATCATCTGCCCCTGGCACCGACCTGCAGCTTTTTATTGACCCCCTTCCCTCCGTGCAGGAGGAAAACCCGAGGGCGAAGGAACAACCCCCGGGTCCCCCATGGGGGGCCAAGGCGGCCGCTGCCACCCCGGGGTCCCACCGGCTCCGTCCCAATGTCGGGACCCTCCACCTTGGGGTCCCCAAGGGCTCCTCGTCCTCGTTAATTAACCCCCC